GCTAGGCTTTGCCTTGAAAGAGAACCATTTGCAGGAGTATTGGGCCTCACACGAACTTTCTTAAGAGCTTCCCATCCAGAATATAACATTGAGTTTACTTTGGAGAAACGTTGATGAATTGATTCTATCTTTACAATAGCAAGATTGCAGCCAGGAGGAGGGTCTAAACCCATTTTTACTTTACGGACTGTCCAACAGAAAAAAGATGATAAAATTCAAAGGCTTCAACATGCAAAATATAAGACTTGGTGGAATGTTTCAGGAAACACGACAATACCCTGCACTTTCATTTTGCCAATGGTCTTCTTTGGTTTAGGAGCAGCTGCCTCACTAACTAACTCAGAAGACTGTTTTGCCAACAGCTCTTCTTCTGGTTGCAGAAGTACCTGCTGTAGACTAGAAATTTAAATGTAATAGTCAGAGATAGGTATTCAAAGCATGAAGCAAAATACTATGTTCAACAAGCATTACACCATAAAGCAGTAATAAGACCTGCTGACCTTAGTAATATAGAAGTACCATGTAAGTATACTACTTAGCCAAATACAGACAACAAAACTTGAACCTTACATGCATAGATGCACAAATGAAGGCATGCATGGGTGGAATACACACACACACACACATATATTATTGCATGCAAATGCATGATCATCTAAGTGTTCTGATTAAGATGCAATAAATCAGGTTGCAAGTATTTAGCACATTTTAAAAATCGTTATTTACTAAATGAAAATTAACAAATTCAAGGCAAACCACTGCAATAATTGCCAGTTATTCCTGAAACAGTAAACTAAGAAAGCCTATATATATTTAGTATTTCATAAATAACCATGACTTATACACTGTTGGTTAGGTCGTAGATGAAATATTCTCCAAGAATCAAATCACCTCTATGATTCTTTGATAATCATGAGTGATTACTAGCCCTTATTGCAAATTTTCCCAGTGAATGTAACATGTTCTGAATGGCAGGCAAGGAACTAACCAAAAAAGCATTATCACATGGTAAGTTTGTCCAAACATTGTTCCATTTCCATCAATCCTTATTTCTAACCCCATTTTGACTAATATGCATAATATTTCATATTTTTATCCCAGAAAGCAGATCAAGTTATTAGAATTTCAATATCAGAGCAGTTTCATTGATGGATCTTAGTTTCCATTTCAAGAGTTATCCTGGTGTGTTTTTATCACATATTAACCTTAAACAAACAATGTATAACTTTCAAAACAAGATACAAAAGAAACAAAGGGAATATATGCACTCACCCAAATGCTTTTCGCAACTGTAAACATTCTCTATTTAAGAAGTAAGGAGCTTCTTCTGTGCAACCTTTGGCCCATGAATTTAAGCATAAACGAACACATGCATCATAAGACAGCACTGCACACCATGGACCAAGCCCACTGAAAAAATTTATTGATGCAGTCAGTTGTCTAAAACTTTATGAAGGTGCAAATTCTAAACCAAGAGCAATATGTGCTTAACTTAGCTATTTAACTGACCTTGCATGAAAGATGGGGCGATGAATGGGTAAAGTACTACTGGATTCATTGACTCCTCCTTCCTCTGCAGTCCTGTAACGCATAATTGTTCAATTGTAGTGTCTTGATACTTTTTGTTTTTGTTAATAACAGCAAGGCAACCGGATGTAGAGATGCTGACACACACACACACCTGATAGATGGATCAAGAATCTCCTCCCTGCTGTTATCCTGAACAATGGTATCATTGTAGGAAGGTTTTGTTTTTTGCAGTCCTTCGATATGAAAAACCTACATGCACTTAAATAGTTGAGTACAGCACAAAGCATAATGTTTTAGATTAACAATAAATTTAAGTGGAGCATCACAGTGGTATCTTATTTCGATCTTATTAATTCCAGATCGCACCTCTTAATGAAGCCATTTAGACATCTTAAGGCCCATAACCAAATCAAGTGATTAGAAAATTAAAGAAGTAACATTTTGGGATGTTAAACCCCAGGTAGCCTACCCATTGATCTGGTGGTATCACCCAACATATCTTGCATATACAATAAGGCACGTCCCTAAATTGGTCTAAGCATGATAAAAAAAAACAGCCAAGTGCTATTTTTCAACTTTCAAGCTTCAGCGGCGCAATTCAAACAACTTAATCAAATGAATAACAACTTACCAAAGAAAATAATATTAAAGGAGGAACTTAATATATGAAAGCAAATTTTAGTAAGGACATACTAAAACCTAGTTGTAACAGAATGCTTGCACAGTCATGCATCAAAACACACTGATTCACAGAGTACCAAAAATGCTTTTGCATCCATAAGAAGTTCATTGAAAGATGCAAACCTGTTTAGATGTTATTTCAACACCTACACTAGAAGTAACAGTAGAAGAACAACTATCTGAATTATTTGCTTCTCTATGAGGTGGAACACCATCACTGCTTCTATACTGCACAAATGAAACTTCAGTGCTACTGGCAGAATCTGAAAATTGCTCTTCTTGAGTGTCAGGCTTCCCAACTGGGTTCCCACCATAAACCCATGCTGGTCTCTGACAACTATTTTCTAATTTCAGCTGAATTCCACTATTACCACAAGCCCCTGATTTCTGTATGGAAGCAGTATGTGTAGCAGCTGCAACAGTTGGCACCTTATTATCTTGAGGCAATGAAATGAACGAGTACTGCCTGTCATAGGCATGCTCATCTGAATCGGATGATGTGTCCATGTCTGATCCTGAACCACCATCATTGCCACTAACAGGTATTCCCCAAGACACTGGAATTACACTTGGAGCCAAATGGCCATTACAAAATTTTGCTGAAGGAGGCAATCCAGAGTGCCATCCAGCATTTCTTAAACCAAGAACGGGATCAGGTTTTTGTCTGGCAGTCCTTGTCGTACTGAAAAGATGACTGTTCTTGGCACCAACCCCCTAAGACAAGTTTAAAACATTAAGATCAGACTCATCCAGCAGCTCAGACTACACTATAAAGTAAAAAACTACTATAGACATTAACATCACAAAACATTGAAATATCTAATTCACATAAACAAATGTTTGCACCAAATACCTAAACAAATGCATAAATACATGAATGTATACATATCTATTCGAGTTGACTCACCTCACGAACCCATCTTAGTGCATCATTGTCAAGGCCTTGCGTGAACATTGTCTTATAGTTTCTTCTTCTTCACCTAAAATCCAACCATTGAAAGAGAATTTAGCACCGGAATTACAATTGAAGAACTAATAAGCCAAGACACACAAGCAAAAGAGCAAAAACTAACAAACGAAATCACTCATAAAAAACTAGTACACTCCAATGCGGTTTCTTTACTTATCCATCTTCCCAACCAAGCAGATTGGGAAACAAGGAAAAACAATAAACAGAAGTCCACTATTTTATACAATAAAACTCGAACTTTACCAAAACCAGCAAACTGAAAGAGAAAATATAATTAATCTAAAGTGCAAAAACCCTCACTTTGCTTAACTATCGTTTTATATCAGAGGAAAATCATTGAAAAAGGTAGTGAACTATAAGTTTGCACTGACATTAATAAAGGATTCCCATCAACCAAACGGAAAAAATCAGATCATGGGAATTCAACTTCACATGCCAATCACTGATCAGAGTACTAACAAACCAATTGCTAAAATCCCATTTGCTTCAATGATCAAACAAGCAAAAGGGTATCACTTAAACTCAATAAAATGTCGCTGCCCAAAAAAAAAAAAAAACTTGACTTTGATCAAGTTTAGAAAAAAGAGAAAGAAGAGATGAAAAAACTACTCACACAAAAAGGAGACAGGAGAACGTGGAATGAGAGAATTAAAGAGAAAAACAATAATGTGTTGTTCTACTGTTCAAACAAACATTTTTCTCTGCTTTATAAATATCACTTCTTTTTCTTCAAAAGAAAAGATGGTTTTTTTTTTTTTCTTTTTGGAGCAAGAAGAATCAATGTTTCAACTGTGAAGCGAAATTCAGGAGAGTTTCACCGAACCTAGGACGAAAACAAAGAACTAACGGAGAGGTGTGAGATTAACGTGAAACTGACGTGGCAAGCGGTAGCGCGCCCTTTATAACGGTCGATTTGTTTAAGTTTTCTTTTTCTCAGGATGGAGTCTTTGGTTTGGGTTGGTTGCACACACAATTTGTGGTACTTTGGGGTAGTTTAGGGAGGGAGAGATTAGTGGGTCCCACGTGGATCCCCTGTTTGTATTCAGTCCTAACTGGGAGTGTGCTGTAATCCCCAACGATTCGCTGATTTTCCGCGCTGAATAAGACTTAATCACTAAGAAACCCCACCAATAAAAAAAAGAGTAAAGAAAAAAAAGCCAAGGTTTTTTAGGTTAAAAAATAAATTTAATTAAGTTGCTTAAAAATAAAACAAGGTTAGAGTATTTATATATTCTAAGTTAGAGATATTATATACGAAAAATAGAAAAAAAATAACTCTAGGGATTTTATTTAAAATTAAAGTAGTATTATAGATGTTATTTTTAATCATACTCACAGAAAATTTATTTTTTTAATTTATAGGTATAGGTATCAAATTTTTAGAATAAAAAAATGATGGCTATGAATTTAAAATATTTATACATACGAACAGTATATTATAATATTCATCTAATATCCGGATATGGTATCTTTAAATATCTTTTATAAATATATATTAAAAATATAAATATGTTACATTTATTAAGTGAATTTATGCCTTTTTTTTTAATTTAAAATTATATTGAGAGAATATTAAAGTGATTGACTGATTGGTTTCAATATCAATGATTGAAAGGAGCCACAAGTTCCTAGCAGTTGTGACATGCTTTATTATATATTTTTTCATATTTGGATATTATTATTATTATTATTATTATTATTTGGCTATAAATATAGATGGTAAGACATGCATAGGCCTTTGTGTTAAGTAAAGTTACGAGGGTGGGTTGGCGCATTGGCATACCATCTCCTGATTCTCTTTCCCATTAATTAATTACTAATTAATTAGTTTGGTTTCATTGGTAAGAAAAATAAATAAACATTGTTTTCCTGCTTATGTCGTCAATGGGAGCTTATGACTAATGAAAATGGCCTTACACGTCTCATGGACATGCCATGTGACCCTTAAAATCCTCAATTTTCAACCATTTTAACTAATTTCTTCAATCCCTTTAACAATTTTAATACAGTAATTATAGATTCACGTTAGTCCAATTGATAAAGGAAACTATGATGATTACAATCATAAACTCATTCTTGATCTATTACAATTTATGGTGTTTATTGATTCCCCCATCAAGCTTGGTTCATATTTAATCAGAAACCAATTTATACAAAGATTATTGGAACCAGAAAACCAGTTGTTGATCGACAACTGCAAAAATTTTAACAAACTAGGGTTGAGCATTGAAATCAAACCTTTTCTTTTGCCCTTTTCCTGAAGGAAACATTCCTGAAATTGTATGGGATTGTATTTAAATAAACATTGCTAATGAACAAAGTAAATGCATACTCGTAGGGTGCATTAATAGATAGAAGAACAAACCAATAAATCTTTATCTTGATGCTTTGCGTAGTCTGGTTCTTGACTTTTTTTGTTCACTAGGTGCCTAAATATCAACTAGAGAAAATACCCAACTCTGCATTTCATCTTTCCATGCAACTAACAAATCTCAATATATCAGTCATCATCTAAGCCAAGGACCTGCAGCTTAAGCTCTTCGATTTTAGCAGCCAACTCCTCCCTGTTTTTCTGCCAAATGCAAGTAAAAAGAATTAATATTTCTCTTTACAATGATTATTTAGAATCTAAATCACTAAAGCATCTACCTTGAATAACAGATAACGGGAGCTGAACCAGAATGTGTAGCCAAGACCCACAACTTCCATCAATTTAGGGAACTGAAGGTTACAATTAGAATCATCAATCAAAGTAATATAGGGATTTTATTTATGCTCCAAAGAAACTCAGAATTCACATTTAAAACACACCAATGGAATTGAATCAATAGCACTGACAAGCGTTGAAGCTAGCCACAAAGCAACCAAGGCACCACTTCCATATAATATAATTGAATATGCATCTTCAGAGTCAAGCTGCATGCATTTAGCAACAGTCATCAGAATCTCAAACTATGATAAACCAAAAGAGTTGCTATAAATGATGCGAACTATAAAACTCAACTCTCAAAGTATAATGAATTGTATGTGAGCAACAGCACAACACTCTGTTTCAAATCATTCTCTACTTACACCAACCATAGAAATGGGTACAAAGAGAAAGTCGAAAAACAGATTAACTCTACATAATGACTTGCTCGGGCAAGAATCAAGGAAAAAAACTTTTAAGAATCAAGTAAAAAAACTTTCTAATGCAAAAAGGGGGCCCAAAATCATGAGGAAAGATATCAACAAAAATTAAAAAGAAAGTAGACAGACAACAAAAGGTAATATAAGATGACTAAAACAATAAAAAAATAATATTGCCCAGAGAACAACCACTTCAACGTGATTGTTGTCTTCTCACCAAGAATTTCATCAAATTCTAGTGATCATCGAGAAACACGTTTGCACCTAAAAAGAAGTAAAATTTTGATAAATAAGAATTAAAAAAAAAAAACCCTAAAATCTTGCTCAGGGGAAGAATTTGAATTTGAACAAATTTTGTTGCTCAGGTAACCGCTCAGATCGACATGGTTGTCGATGTTTCATAAAATTTTCATAAATTCTACTAATCATCACAGCAACCAAAATGCAAATTCATTGAAGAAGGAATTAAAAACTTATAATGAACAAAAATCTAAACAAGGCAAAGAATAAAAAAGGAGGTTCTAACTTCTAACCTTTGCTATCAAAGACAAAATTAACAAGTAACAATAGAAATGAAAACATCTAAAATGAAGCTATGTGATAGAAGCATGAAATAGCTTTAAAGGCCTAAGGTGAATAAACAAAAGAACATCTAGGGAAAAGAGCCATGGAACTACAAATTCAGTTAATATCAAGCAATAAACCTTGCACAGAAAAAGGAAAACAGAGAAGTTAGGGGGAACATAGATAGAGAGATGCAATAAGAAAAGGTAAACTATGTTGCTTCGATAACAATTGACACGAACATGGTTATTAATCTCATAAAAATATATCTTTGACCAAATTTTAATGGTTATGACAGTAATATATTTGACAAGACCAGCAAAAAAATTAATTAATGGAAACATCAAAGACAAGGCATGCATAACAAAATGGTTTAGAGTACAAAAACCTGACAATTTAATCTCAGATAGAACATAGGATGAGAAAGTGTATTAGCAAAACATGTTCCTGAGGTAACCACTCAGATTGACACAGTTGTCAATGCTTCATCAGGAATTTTTGATATACTTTCACCAATTCTGGTAATCATTCTAGCAACCATTATGATTGTAATTGAAGTGGAACAAGAACATAACAAATGAAACCTCCAAAACGACAAGGGAAAAGAAAGTAAATGACTCTTATTATCAAAAAGAAAGGTGAAGAGTAAGAAGAAAAGGTAGCTGGTGTAAAAACAAGTTTCTATAAACCAAGAATTTAGAGAGGAAGAAACATACAATCTATCACCAAAACTTTTAACTAATAACAAAGACAAAAAAAAAAAAGGATGAAAAAGTAACAGAACAATTAAATCACTAGGTTGCTCAGGTAACCGCTCAGGATCAACACAATGGTCGAAGTTTCATCAAGCATTCAACAAATGCCTTTCAATTATTCCAAAACCTCATCATTGCAACCCAATTTGACAACGAAAAGGGACATAAAAGGCCAAAAAAAGTTCATTTCTCAATTAGTAAACATAAATAATCAGGTAAAAGAACCTTTGATGTTTCATTTTTTTTTTCAATCCATTCTAATGTCATAAATGCATATTCCAAAAGAGTACACAATTAATTGATAGATAAACTCATAAATAGTTCCTTCAAACAATTTGCATATTCGATTTGGAACATTTAACAACAAATTTGATAACTTAAAAACACTATGTCATTTAATTATATATCCAATCAAACACGAAGGGAATTTTCCGTTTCCAAACATTGCATCTCGGTGAAACCAAGTAGCCAACCCTTCTTTTTTTCTATCTTTATATTAAAAAAAAGAAACCTTATTATAACAAGTATAATTGAAACTATGATGCATCTATAAACAGTGCAAAGTGATTAAGCAAAGGGTAAACCTTTATATTAAATTTCTCCAAAAACTCAAACATCTGCGATTCCTCATCGGCAGCTAATTCTTCTTTAGGATCTTCCGGTGGCAGCTTTTCATTGTACGTATTCTTCTCAACCGCCGGAACTTGTTCCAATGTCGCCACGCCGTCGCGATCCTTCCCGTAAAATCGGTTCGGACCAGTGGAGGAGGTTTCCTCGGATGTTGTTGCTTTAGGCAACGGGTTATTAAAATATAAAACCCCTACAAAGAAAAAAAAATCATTGCACTTTTTTTATTGTTAAGTGTTACTTTCCATTTTCTAGTATATAAAAGAAAAGCATAATTTTTTTAAAAATTAATTCCTAAAAAGTACAATATGAACAACAGATTAAAAAAAAAAAGGAAAGATGAGATAAGGAATTAAAAAAAAGGAGAGGATAGGGTTTTTGGATTTCGTACGAGAGCGAAGGCCACGGTTGGTGGAGCGAGGAAGAGGCGGTGCGCGGAGACGGGGAGGCAGAGAGGGAATTGGGCCGAAGAACCTGATGGTTGGGAGAGTGGAAATGGGGTGGGGAAGGCTCGTACTGAGAAGCTCCATGTTTTAGAGTAAAGTTTCAGTGAGAGTGAATGTGGACTCTGGAACTCTATTTATTAGGGTGGCATCGTGCTGTTGTGCCTTCTCTAGGGTTCTCCTTTCTTTGTTTGGTTAAGTGTCACTATTTATTTTTCAGGTTTGTTTTTTAAACCAGCAACGTCGTCGTATTAGTGCTTACTTTTTCTTTCTTTTTCATTTGTTGGCCATTGGTTTGTTTTTTAATAGCGTGTAAATTTTAGATTTAGTTTCGATTTTTTAATAATTTTTAAAAATATTTTCATCAATTTAACATATTTAAAATTTTATTCAAATAACTTCTTAAAAAATATTTGAACCGTAGTTTGACAAGAAAAAAAAAAACCTTATCTTCACCTAATAAATTAACTGGCAGTGAAAATAGCAATTGTTTTGTCATACGGCGTTTTTTACTAATAATGTTTTGTGCTTGAATTTATTATTTATATCTCTTTAGTTTTTATGTTCAAAAGAATGACACCTCTTTGAATTACGTGCCTAATTAATTATTAGTCGAGGATGTATAATGTAAAAGTTTTTTTTATTCCGAAAAAATATAAGATAAATAAATTATTTAATTTTTTAAATGTGTTGTATTTGATGATTTAAAATAATTAATTACAAATCGTATATTCGATATTATTTCAACAAGTGATTATCAGTAAAATTCGAATTTAAAATTTTTTTTTAAAATAAATCTTAATTAATTAAATCAATTATCTATTAATCATCAATGAAAAAGTTACTATCTTATTTTATGCGTATATAATTTTTTTTAGAAGTTAGTAATGTTATTTATATTTAATGAAAATTTTAATTTTTTTATTTAAATGAAAATAGATATAAATATTATATTATAAAAATAAATATGAAAATGAATAATATAATAATATTCGTTCAGTATTTATATTCTTATTATATATATTTAATAAATAAGTATTTTATTAAATAATATAAATTATTATTTTATATTAATTAAAATTAATATATTTCTATTTAAAAAATATATTTTAGTATATACTTATAAAAAAATTACATAAATTAAAAGATAAATATTTAAAAATTTTAAAAATAAATTTTAATTATTTTTTTAAGTTACAAGTATAAGGATTATAATTAATATCTATTAAATATTCATGAAAATAAAAATAAATTTAAAGTATTCAATAATTAAGAATATGAGATAAATATAATATAAAAATTTAATAATAAAAATTAAAAATATCATTAATTATGAATACGAGATTAATATAATATAAAAATCTAATAATAAAAATAAAAAATATTTTATCCACCTCACATTGTACCAATTGACATCCTAATTTGCACGGACAACTTATAAAGATTTTAACAATTAACTTGGATCTTTTCATAATCAGTGACAGTGATAAGGTGGGAAATGAATCATACCATTTTAATTTTGGGGCTGGAGTAAACCCATTTCAATCTGATTCTAAATTCTAATTGGAATAACGCCTTTGAGGCTACTATAGGCCCACTTCAAACTAATTCCAAGTAGAGCCAATGTGGGCCTTTGACATGACAAATATCCTTCGACTGCCTAGTCTGTAGGAAGTTAGGAACATGGAACCCGACCAAATAGGTTTATGGCCGAGGGAAAATCTAGGCTGGGGTTGATATGCTAATGGGGAATATATATCAAATAAACTCGATCCAATTAATCTTGATGGTGTTGGCACTTTGTGTTTTATATACCAGGTTTTCGTGCATGGATGAAATATCTCACTCATTAAAAGGAAAAAAACAGTCTTTTTTGCTCTAGTCCTATGAATTTTGAGTAAGTTTCAGGCCTCAAGATGGTTTCTGAATCCTGACCACTGGCTTCCCTCTAGGGAAAATAATAACAACCGTTGAAGCACTCAATTGTTAGCAAATTTGACTGACCATGTTCTATATTCTTTTCCACGGATGAAAACGACATTGGATCTTTGGTATATATATATATAGAACAGCTGATCTTACTCTTGGGTGTTCTTGGCCTTCTTATGAATGTGAATACAGCACTTTGTTTGTTGGATATGAATGTTAAAAATATGATCAGTTTGATCTGATTGAAATGTTTACATTTCTGATTTTTTTCTTTCTTTTCTCTGAGGATATCATTTGCTGTTAAGTATAGCTTGATTGAGAAGTTCGTACAGTTTTAAGAAATGCTTGTATTTGTCAGCTGCTGATTAATTTTCCTTCCATAGTATTGAACAGCAAAGTTGGACCCCCCCCCCCCCCCAAATTTGTTACTGAGGGAAGAAAAATGCAGGTATGCGAATTAAAAACCCCAATTCAAAGTCTGATGTTGATTGGAATTAAAAACAAAACATATACTGTTAAACTGTTAATATTCCCTATCCTATCAGGTTGCTATAGCTTGCGCTATTTGATCAAGAAAAAGATTGGAGGGAGGGCTTTGAGCCTACCACAAGTTTCTGGTAATTACTGCCATGGATAAGGTGGTTGGCAGTTTTTGTTCTTCTTCTTCTTAGAATATCTTGTAAATCCAAGTGTTTTACTTAACTACAACTTTGCTGTGGGGTTGATGCAGGAGCAGATTGATGAAGTATGGGCTGTTTGATAGTTTTGGTCCTTTCAGGAAGGTTCAGATGCTACGTACGTACGTTCTCTAATCCACTTTGTCAAGTCACAGGTATGTTCATCTAGTGCAGTAGAATTCTAGATATTTGAAAACAGCTTACTAATGGTGGAAAATTAACTTGCTGATCAAACTTAGTGAGATGTTGATCACGTTTAAGTCAAGAATTTTCAATTGTTTTACAAATCTATCACTGTCAATCGCCTTTCAGTCTCGTGGAATTGGCCCCTTGCATACAACCAAGGAATGTTTAAGTTCCTGTGTTCTCAAATTAGGCCAAAATGAGTGGTAAAGACAGGATCTTGATGATCATGACATTGTTTCTGTGAAAACTTATTAAAGGTTTCTCATTCAAATTTGCCTTAATCAAGTCACAGCCTCTTCGGCGGATTCATATTGTTGTGAAAACTTGTTAATATACGTTTGAATTTCCGATTAAGTTTCACCATATTATCATGCCAGTTAATAAAGAACTCAGTTAATACACGGATGATTAATCGGATTAAAGATGCTGTCACGATTTGATTACATGGGCTACGCTAAATTGCTGCTGACTCGGTTAATAAAAAACTATGTGATGTTTGAAACCTTAATGCTGCTATTAGAACTTATATTTTTTGATGCTATTGTAAAAATTGTTGTGTTGTAGCAAAAATCTTATGTTAATTTGGGATAAATAAAATTACAATTTATCCGGAAAAAATTATCATACCAGTTCCATGGTGAATTTCTTTTGCATTTTCCAATACAAATCATAGAGATGGTAGTAATGCAAGCAAAGTTGATCTCAATCAAAGCTGGCTTCTCATTTATACACATCATTGCAACTAAAGACTGCTGGATGCTAAGATTATATAAGTAGCTGTAGCTGGAATGAGATATGTTAGCTAGTTTCCAAAGCAAATGAGTGAAACTAATGAAAATATGCAATATATAATTCACTAGTAGCATGGTTGGAGGGAGACATGTGGAGCCAAATGTAGATCCCAGAGAAGCAATTATATATATATATATATATATATTCGGTGGTTCAGCGCTTATCATGGATTTGCAGGGGAAGCCATAGCTGATCTTCTGGATACTTTTTGAGGGAAAATTATATGGAGAGGATGGTTTAAAAGGAAGCACTCTCGAGAACTCGAATCTCAAACACTACCCAAAAAAAAAAAAAAAGGTTAACAAAGACTGTATATGGAGTTTGGACCACAAAATTGAAATAAAGCTTCTTCGTGTTTGGTCCAAAAGATTTTTTTGGGAGAAGCCCCTCGCCCCCATAAAAAACAGTTTGTTATAGGGAAAAGAAGAATATCTCATAGATAGGAGAGTGAGCGGCAGAGCATCTTGCCTTGTATATTAAAAGGGATACGCATGTGTCTCTAGATTTTAACCGGAAGTTCGAAAGGGTTGATGAAACGATTCATAGATTGCATCCGTTGTGAGATATTATCTGATTTAATGTTACCCTTTTATTATTTTTATTTTTTTTGAAAAAAAAAATCTCAATAGTGAAAGGTGGCCCCTTCCCGATGCTTTTGATAACAGGTGCAGTTAAATAATTTTTGCATCAACATGAAGTTCTTTCTTGAATGCGAAATTCAACATTTTAGGCTAAAATTCATTATCAACAAAGTGCCAATTTTTTTTTTATAATTTAGATTATTAAAATTTGAATTCTAATTATTAAAATTAAAATTCAAGAACTCTATCAATAAATTATGCTGCTGTTGATAACAAATTAAGTGCCATTAATTGTTGTTGATAAACATAATTACAATTTTCTTGTGTTCAGATCAAAACTATTAAGAAGCAAAAAAAAAAAAAAATTTGTTGACAAAAAAATTTGAGATAAATAAATTATCCAATTTTCTCCTGTTATAATATTATATATTGTAAGTGATATATTTGGAGTAAAGGCATTTCAAAAGTAGTACAGATGTGAAACCATCCATAAAACTCGAACAGAAAAACCACTTAATATCGAAGTGGATGACTTATTAAGTAAGCCGACGGCTGTTGGCTACGAAAAATAGATATTGATATTTACCTATTCGAATTTGTTTGAATGCTACAATTAGAATTCACCGTTTTTGTATTTATGTTATATGTAAAATATAAAAATTATCTTGTCATAATTTATATTTACATATCAAACATAAAATATAATTTTTTATTTTTATTAAATTCATATATGATTTTTATTGAATTTTTAAACTATCATTTATATATATTTTTTCATATTATATGTGTTTAAAATTTTCATGTCTAATTATAAAAATAAATTAAAAAAAAGCAAGGTTTGGACAGAAAATGACTACCCTTTCTTCCACCTTTTGATACCAAAGAACTACGATGTTAATAATAAAAGGTCATGCCGTTGTTAGATGTATAAATGATATATTAATATTCGTAAGTTACTCAAGTTCGATTCAAATAAAATTTAAATTCAACTCGATTATTATTAAGTCGAATTTGAGTTTGAGTAACTCAAT